TCCTCCCAGTATAAACCAGTAACCCCTCCCCATTCCCCCAGTCCCCATTGGCTGCTTGCCCTGGGGGCGGAGCCTCATCAGGGACACGCCCACCTGAGGCTCCGCCCCCAGTTTCCTCCCAGTATAAACCAGCAACCCCCAATCCCCAATCCCACTCCCCATTGGCTGCTTGCCCTGGGGGGCGGAGCCTCATCAGGGACATGCCCACTTCTGACGCTCCGCCCCCAGTTTCCTCCCAGTATAAACCAGCAACCCCCAATCCCCAATCCCACTCCCCATTGGCTGCTTGCCCTGGGGGTGGAGCTGAGGCCGTGGCTCCGCCCCCTCGCAGCTGTCACTCACCCTGGTGGCCAGCAGGTGCTCAGTGGGCGTGTCCCCAAGCCCCGCCCCCTCGCAGCTGTCACTCACCTGGGTGGCCAGCAGGTGGAACAGCTACCCAGTGGGCGTGTCCTCCCTTGGCCCCGCCCCCTCGCAGCTGTCACTCACCCGGGTGGCCAGCAGGTGCTCAGTGGGCGTGTCCCCACAAGCCCCGCCCCCAGCTGTCACTCACCCTGGTGGCCAGCAGGTGGCACAACTGCCCCAGGTACTCCAGCAGGTGGGCGTGTCCCCACAAGCCCCGCCCCCAGCTGTCACTCACCCGGGTGGCCAGCAGGTGGCACAGCTGCCCCAGGTACTCCAGCAGGTGGGCGTGTCTCCGCCGAGGCTCCGCCCAGCCCGGGGCCAGCTCGGCCGCCCGGCTCAGCCCCTCCAGCGCGGCCTGGAAGCGCTCCAGGAACTGCAGCAGCTGAGCCAGCTGATTGGCTGGGGGCCGCCGGGGGCGGGGCCAGGCAGGGGAGGGGGCGGAGCCGGGGGCGGAGCCATGGGCGGGGTCGTGGGCGGGGTCGTGGGCGGGGCCAGGGGCGGGCAGAGAGTCCCGGAAGCGATAGAGATCAGAGACCAGGGCCTGGGCAGGGGAGAGAGGGGTCAGAGTGACCCAAAATTGGCTAAAAATGACCCAAAATCAACCGAAATCGGCTCAAAGTGACCCAAAATCGGCTGAAAGTGACCCAAAATCGGCTCAGAGTGACCCAAAATTGGCCAAAAATGACCCAAAATCGGCTCAAAGTGACCCAAAATCGGCTCAAAGTGACCCAAAATCGGCTGAAAATTTACAGAAAATTACCCAAAATCAGCCCAAAATCAACCCAAAATAACCCAAAACGAGCCGTTTCAGCGCCTCCTCGTCGCCCCCCTCCCCCCCGCCGCCATCCGCCGCCGCCGCCGCCTCCTCCTCGGGCGCCGCCATGACAGCGGGGCCACGCCCACTTCCGCCTTCCTCCTCCCGCTTTTTTTCGCCCCGCCGCGCTCCCATCGGCCGCGCCCGCACCGACTTCCGGTCCCTTCCTTTCTTCATTGGTTAGCTCCACACGCTTAAAATGGCGGCAGAGTCGCCGCCCTGTCTCTCTTTAAGGCCACGCCCCCTCATTAACAAACCCCACCCACAAAGGCGGGGCCGCGTTTCCTTTTAAGGTAAAACCACGCCCCTCCGCCTTCCCGCCGCGCTTTGGCCCCGCCCCTGCTCCCGCTCCCCTCACGGTCGGACTCGGCACAAAGGTTTGCGTTTTTTATTTTAAAAATATTTAAATAATTAAGTTTTTGCTTTCCCCCCCTTTCATAAAACCCGAGGGAAATTCCACGGGTTAAAAAAATTTAAACCGAAAAAAAAATAAAAATTAGGAGGTAAACGTCCTCCGAAAGGTTTTACAGTGTTTTATTTTAATGTGTTTTATGTTTAGGTTAAAAAGGAAGGGGACACATGAGGGGTGGGGGCAAAACTGTGAGGGAAAACTTAAATTAGGCAAAAAACTTCAGGAAAAAACTTCAAAAAAATCCAACTGCTAAATGAAAAGAGTTCCGAAGCAGGATTTATTCCAGCGATCGATAAAAATAAGCATAGAAAATAAAATGTTATGGAATTTCTGTAAGCACGTAGAATAAAAATATTAAAAAATAGAAAATAAAGGGATAAAATCGGATATTTTGCTGCTCTTCCGGCGCGGAGAGGGAATAGTGGAGGAAAAAGGGTGGAAAAAAAAAATTTTAAACCGATAAAAAATAAAAATTAGGAGGTAAACGTCCTCCGAAAGGATTATTTTAATTTATTTTAATGTATTTTATGTTTAGGTTAAAAAGGAAGGGGACACATGAGGGGTGGGCGCAAAACTGTGAGGGAAAACTTAAATTTGGCAAAAAACTTCAGGAAAAAACTTCAAAAAAATCCAACTGCTAAATGAAAAGAGTTCTAAAAAGGGAAAATCTAATTAAAAAAAAGGTAAATTAAAGGTTTAAAAGTGGATTTTTACAGCGCCGAGACCCTCGCGGCGCGGTTTCCTGCGAGCGGCTCGTTCCTGAGGGGAAAAATTCTCCCAGCAGGGGTAAAAAAGCTTCTAAATTATACGGAAAGTTACAAATTAATGAAAAAAATCCTTAAATCTGAATTAAAATGCGGATTAAAGTGCAAGAAATCGGATCCCAAGGGGAGGACGGGGGGACACGTGGCGGCGGGGGCGAATCGTGAGGGAAAATCCAATGGAGAACCTTTAAATTAAGCAAAAAAAGACGTAAAAAACCACTAAAAAACAGGAAAAAAAACCCAAAAATTTAAAAAAAACCCTAAAAATATCCAAAAATATAAAGTTATACGGTGGCGATCCTCCAGAAAGCGTTTCCCGCCGGCGGCTCCGCCTGAGGGGAGAGAAGCGGAGTCAGAGCGGGAGCCCAATTAATCCTTCCCCAATTAATTCCTCCCTAATTAATCCCCCCCACAGTTAATTAATTAATGCCGAGGAGCTCCCCGGAGCGTTTGTGCGGCTCCCCAAATGCCGGCGGAGCGCCCGAAGCGTCGCCGGGTGAAGAAGGAGCCGCCGCCGCTGCTCTGCGACGCCGCTAAAACCCCGAGCGCCCGCGGCTGGCGGCGACGGGGGGAACGCGGGTCGGGAATCGCGATCGGGCGGCATATCGCGATAGAAACGCACGGACGGACGGACAGAGAGACAGACAGAACCGCATTCCCCCCACAGCCGCCATTTCCTCACCCATTCGATCCCCTCGACGGCCCCGCACAGACTGAGCGGGTCCCGCCTTGGCCAGCCAGACCCCCCTCGGCAAAGCCACGCCTCCTCGCGCTCCTATTGGCCGGTGGTTGGCCGCCCACCAATCCTATTTGCCGCTGGGCAGGAAAGGGGTGGCGTTATGCAAATGAAGCACGATTGACAGAGGATGGCGGCTCGCGCGCGCTGATTGACAGATAAAGCATTGTGCAAGTCAATGCAAGGGGCGTGGCTCGCGCTTAAAGATTGACAGACAGCACATTAATGTAACTCAATGCAAGAGGCGTGGTTTGAAGGTTTTGATTGACAGATATGCAAGGGGCGTGGCTTGCAGTTAATGATTGACAGACAGCACATTAATGTAACTCAATGCAAGAGGCGTGGCTTGAAGGTTTTGATTGACAGATACGCAAGGGGCGTGGCTTGCAGTTAATGATTGACAGCATATTAATGTAACTCAATGCAAGAGGCGTGGCTTGAAGGTTTTGATTGACAGATATGCAAGGGGCGTGGCTTGCAGCTGGTGATTGACAGGTAAGGCATTAATGTAACTCAATGCAAGGGGCGTGGCTTGCAGTTAATGATTGACAGATAGCATATTAATGTAACTCAATGCAAGAGGCGTGGCTTGAAGGTTTTGATTGACAGACACACAAGGGGCGTGGCTTGCAGGTGTTGATTGACAGATAAGGTATTAATATAACCTAATGAAAGGGGTGTGGCTTCCCACATTGATTGACAGCAACAGCTGGTGATTGACAAGGAGTGTCAGGAGCTGATTGGTCCTCCCTAGATGGGCGGGGTCGCCACCTGAACGACATCACTCGGAAAAAAGAGGCGTGGCCACACCATGAGGGGGTGGGGACTCTTTTATTAAGTGGGCGTGGCCTCCAGGGGCGTGGCCACCTCAATCCCTCCAGGTCACCTCCACCTCATCCGTCCGGTACCTGCCGCGGCCGGGGGTCAAAGGTCAGAGCCCGGCCAATCCCCGCCCGGCCCCGCCCACCCGGGCCCCGCCCCCTGACCTCTGCGTGATCCCCGATTGGCCGAGCTCGGTCACCTGCCCCACCCTCAGCATCTCGCAGCCGGCCTGGGCGATCATGGCGCCGTTGTCGACGCAATACCTGCGGGGTCAAAAGGTCAGGGGCGTGCCCCGCCCACCCCCGCCCCTCCCGAGGCGGGCCCCGCCCCTCCCGAGCCGGCCCCGCCCTCACCTGTCGTCTATGGGGCAGAGCTCCGCCCCCCGGGCTCTGCACATGCTCTGTAGCATCTCCTGCAGCCGGTGGTTACCTGGCAGGGGTGGGCGTGGCTGTGGGCGTGGCCAAACCGACCCCCGGCTCCTCCCCGCATGCAAATGAGGGTGTTTATACAGGGGCGAGGCCACGCCCATTCGGCCTCGCTCGCTCCCGCCCCCGCGGGTGTGACCACGCCCAGCCTGTGTGAGGCCACGCCCAGCCTGTGTGAGGCCACGCCCACTCTGGGCGAGGCCACGCCCACTCACAGGCCACGCCCCCCACGAGCAGCAGGTGCCGCGCCCGGGTCAGCGCCAGCGCGCGCTCGGTGACCTCGGCCAGCATGGCGAACGCCGTCTCCTGGGGAGGGGAGCCACAGTCACCCCCAAAACTGCCCCAAAACTGCCCAAAACAGCCCCCAAAACTGCCCCAAAACGGCCCCGAAAATATCCCAAAAACAGCCCCAAAAACTGCCCTGAAACAGCCCCAAAAACTGCCCGAAACAGCCCCATAAACTGCTCAAAAACTGCCCAAAAAACTGCCCAAAAACTGCTCAAAAATGCCCCAAAATCTGCCCCAAAACGGCCCCGAAACAGCCCCAAAAACTGCCCCAAAACGGCCCCAAAAACTGCCCCAAAAACCGCCCGAAACAGCCCCGAAAATATCCCAAAAACTGCCTAAAAACTGCCCAAAAAACAGCCCGAAACAGCCCCGAAAACTGCCCCAAACAGCCCCGAAAATGTCCCAAAATGGCCCCGAAAATATCCCAAAAACTGCCCAAAAATGGCCCAAAAAACTGCCCAAAAACTGACCAAAAAACTGCCCAAAAACTGCCCGAAACAGCCCCAAAAACTGCCCCAAAAACTACCCAAAACAGCCCCGAAAATATCCCAAAAACTGCCCCAAAAGTGTCCCAAAACGGCCCCAAACGGCCCCGAAAATATCCCAAAAACTGCCCCAAAAGTGTCCCAAAACGGCCCCAAACGGCCCCGAAAATATCCCAATAACTGCCTAAAAACTGCCCAAAACAGCCCCGAAAACTGCCCCAAACGGCCCCGAAAATGTCCCAAAAACTGCCCAAAAAACTGCCTGAAATGGCCCCGAAAATATCCCAAAAACTGCCCCAAAAGTGTCCCAGAACGGCCCCAAACGGCCCCGAAAATATCCCAATAACTGCCTAAAAACTGCCCAAAACAGCCCCGAAAACTGCCCAAAATGGCCCCAAAAACAGCCCCAAAAATGTCCCAAAACGGCCCCAAAAACAGCCCAAAAAACTGTCCAAAAACTGCCCGAAACAGCCCCAAAAATATCCCAAAAACTACCCCAAAAACAGCCCCAAAAACTGCCCCGAAAATGTCCCAAAAACTGCCCAAAACGGCTTTGGGGTGATTTTGGGGGATTTTGGGGTGATTTTGGGGGTTTTGGGTGTCTGTTCCCTGCGTGGTTTGGGGTCAGTCTGGGGCCAGATTTGGTATTATTTTTGGGGTGATTTTGGGGGATTTTTGGGTGATTTTTTGGGGTGATTTTGGGGTCAGTTTTGGGGTTATTTTTGGGGTGATTTTGGGGTGATTTTGGGTACCTGCAGGTGCGAGAGCAGCCCCGAGAAGGAAACGTCCAGGCCCTTCACCACGTAGGGCAGCGGCAGCAGGCGGCGCCCCCTGGGGATTTTGGGGTGAATTCGGGGGACTTTGGGAAAACTCGGGGGAATTTGGGGGATTTTGGGAAAATTCAGGGTGAATTTGGGGGGAATTCGGGGGATTTGGGGAAAATTCGGGGGATTTTGGGGAGAATTTGGGAGACTATGGGGAAATTCGGGGAGAATTTGGGGTGAATTTGGGGGATTTTGGGGGACTTGAGGTGAATTTGGGGGGAATCCAGGGGATTTGGGGAAAATTCAGGGTGAATTTGGGGGATTTTGGGAAAACTCGGGGGAATTTGGGGAAAATTCGGGGGATTTTGGGAAAATTTGGGGTGAATTTGGGGTGAATTTGGGAGATTTTGGGGAAATTTGGGGTGAATTTGGGGAGAATTCGGGGGATTTGGGGAAAATTCGGGGAGAATTTGGGGGATTTTGGGAAAATTCGGGGGATTTTGGGAAAATTTGGGGGAATTTGGGGAAATTCAGGGGATTTTGGGGAAATTCGGGGGAATTTGGGGAAATTCGGGGGAATTTGGGGAAATTCGGGGGAATTTGGGGAAATTCGGGGGAATTTTGGGATCATTTCTGGGGTCATTTTTGGGCCGTTTTTGGGATCATTTTTGGGAATTTTGGGATTATTTCTGGGGTCATTTTTGGGGCCGTTTTTGGGGATTTTGGGATCATTTTTAGGATCATTTTTGGGGATTTTGGGGTCACTTTCAGGGATTTTGGGGTCATTTTTGGAGTCAATTTTAAGATCATTTTTGGGTATTTTGGGATCATTTTTGGGATCATTTCTAGGGATTTTGGGATCATTTTTGGGGCCAGATTTGGGATCATTTTGGGGTCATTTTTGGGGATTTTGGGGTCATTTTTGGGGCCATTTTTGGGATTTTGGGATCATTTTTACGGTCAGTTTTGGGGATTTCGGGATCATTTCTGGGATCATTTTTGGGAATTATTTTTGGGATTCTTAGGATCATTTTTGGGAATTTTGGGATTATTTTTGGGATAATTTTTGGGACCATTTTTGGGATCATTTTTGGGATCATTTTCGGGACCATTTTTGGGGATTTTGGGATCATTTTTGGGATCATTTTTGGGAATTTTGGAATTATTTTTGGGATCATTTTTGGGGCCATTTTTGGGGCCCTTTTTGGGGCCATTTTTGGGGATTTTGGGGTCAATTCTGGGGCCATTTTTGGGGTCATTTTGGGGCCATTTTTGGGATCATTTTTGGGGATTTCAGGATTATTTTTGGGGCCGTTTTTGGGGATTTTGCGACTATTTTTGGGACCATTTTTGGGGCCATTTTTGGGGATTTTGGGGTCAATTCTGGGGTCATTTTTGGGATCATTTTCGGGGATTTCGGGATTATTTTTGGGATCATTTTTGGGGCCATTTTTGGGGCCATTTTTGGGATCATTTTTGGGGATTTTGGGGCCATTTTTGGGGCCATTTTTGGGGCCGTTTTTGGGGCCGTTTTTGGGGATTTTGGGACATTTTGGAATCTCGGGAATTTTTGGGGATTTTTTTTGGGAATTTTTGGGGCCGTTTTTGGGGATTTTGGGACATTTTGGGACATTTTGGGACATTTTGGAATCTCGGGAATTTTTGGGGATTTTTTGGTGAATTTTTGGGGAATTTTGGTGAATTTTTGGGGCCGTTTTTGGGGTTTTTGGAACATTTTGGGTTATTTTGGGACATTTTGGAATCTCGGGAATTTTTGGGGATTTTTTGGGAATTTTTGGGGCCGTTTTTGGACATTTTGGGTTATTTTGGGACATTTTGGAATCTCGGGATTTTTTGGGGATTTTTGGGGAATTTTTGGGGATTTTTTTGGGAATTTTTGGGGCCGTTTTTGGACATTTTGGGTTATTTTGGGACATTTTGGAATCTCGGGATTTTTTGGGGATTTTTGGGGAATTTTTGGGGATTTTTTTGGGAATTTTTGGGGCCGTTTTTGGACATTTTGGGTTATTTTGGGACATTTTGGAATCTCGGGATTTTTTGGGGATTTTTGGGGAATTTTTGGGGATTTTTTTGGGAATTTTTGGGGCCGTTTTTGGACATTTTGGGTTATTTTGGGACATTTTGGAATCTCGGGATTTTTTGGGGATTTTTGGGGAATTTTTGGGGATTTTTTTGGGAATTTTTGGGGCCGTTTTTGGACATTTTGGGTTATTTTGGGACATTTTGGAATCTCGGGATTTTTTGGGGATTTTTGGGGAATTTTTGGGGATTTTTTTGGGAATTTTTGGGGCCGTTTTTGGACATTTTGGGTTATTTTGGGACATTTTGGAATCTCGGGATTTTTTGGGGATTTTTGGGGAATTTTTGGGGATTTTTTTGGGAATTTTTGGGGCCGTTTTTGGACATTTTGGGTTATTTTGGGACATTTTGGAATCTCGGGATTTTTTGGGGATTTTTGGGGAATTTTTGGGGATTTTTTTGGGAATTTTTGGGGCCGTTTTTGGACATTTTGGGTTATTTTGGGACATTTTGGAATCTCGGGATTTTTTGGGGATTTTTGGGGAATTTTTGGGGATTTTTTTGGGAATTTTTGGGGCCGTTTTTGGACATTTTGGGTTATTTTGGGACATTTTGGAATCTCGGGATTTTTTGGGGATTTTTGGGGAATTTTTGGGGATTTTTTTGGGAATTTTTGGGGCCGTTTTTGGACATTTTGGGTTATTTTGGGACATTTTGGAATCTCGGGATTTTTTGGGGATTTTTGGGGAATTTTTGGGGATTTTTTTGGGAATTTTTGGGGCCGTTTTTGGACATTTTGGGTTATTTTGGGACATTTTGGAATCTCGGGATTTTTTGGGGATTTTTGGGGAATTTTTGGGGATTTTTTTGGGAATTTTTGGGGCCGTTTTTGGACATTTTGGGTTATTTTGGGACATTTTGGAATCTCGGGATTTTTTGGGGATTTTTGGGGAATTTTTGGGGATTTTTTTGGGAATTTTTGGGGCCGTTTTTGGACATTTTGGGTTATTTTGGGACATTTTGGAATCTCGGGATTTTTTGGGGATTTTTGGGGAATTTTTGGGGATTTTTTTGGGAATTTTTGGGGCCGTTTTTGGACATTTTGGGTTATTTTGGGACATTTTGGAATCTCGGGATTTTTTGGGGATTTTTGGGGAATTTTTGGGGATTTTTTTGGGAATTTTTGGGGCCGTTTTTGGACATTTTGGGTTATTTTGGGACATTTTGGAATCTCGGGATTTTTTGGGGATTTTTGGGGAATTTTTGGGGATTTTTTTGGGAATTTTTGGGGCCGTTTTTGGACATTTTGGGTTATTTTGGGACATTTTGGAATCTCGGGATTTTTTGGGGATTTTTGGGGAATTTTTGGGGATTTTTTTGGGAATTTTTGGGGCCGTTTTTGGACATTTTGGGTTATTTTGGGACATTTTGGAATCTCGGGATTTTTTGGGGATTTTTGGGGAATTTTTGGGGATTTTTTTGGGAATTTTTGGGGCCGTTTTTGGACATTTTGGGTTATTTTGGGACATTTTGGAATCTCGGGATTTTTTGGGGATTTTTGGGGAATTTTTGGGGATTTTTTTGGGAATTTTTGTTTGGGGCCATTTTTGGGGCCATTTTTGGGGCCATTTTTGGGGATTTTGGGGTCATTTTGGGACCATTTTTGGGGCCATTTTTGGGGATTTTGGGGTCAATTCTTTGGGGCCAGATTTGGGATCATTTTGGGGTCATTTTTGGGGATTTTGGGGTCATTTTTGGGGCCATTTTTGGGATTTTGGGATCATTTTTACGGTCAGTTTTGGGGATTTCGGGATCATTTCTGGGATCATTTTTGGGAATTATTTTTGGGATTCTTAGGATCATTTTTGGGAATTTTGGGATTATTTTTGGGATAATTTTTGGGACCATTTTTGGGATCATTTTTGGGATCATTTTCGGGACCATTTTTGGGGATTTTGGGATCATTTTTGGGATCATTTTTGGGGCCATTTTTGGGGATTTTGGGGCCGTTTTGGGGTCACCTCTTGGCCAGCTGCTCCACGTTGTACCCGGGGCTGGGAGCGTTGGGGATCTGCGGGGAAAGGGGCGTGGTCAGCGGGGGCGTGGCCCGGGGGCGTGGCCCTGCTGGGGGGGGCGTGGCCCTGCAGGTGGGCGTGTCCCTTTCCCGGTGGGCGTGTCCCTTCCCCTGGGGGCGTGTCCCTTTCCCAGGGGCGTGTCCCTTTCCCAGTAGGCGTGTCCCTGCCCGGTGGGCGTGTCCCTTCCCCAGTGGGCGTGTCCCTCTCCCGGTGGGCGTGTCCCTTTCCCGGTGGGCGTGTCCCTTTCCCGGTGGGTGTGTCCCTTTCCCGGTGGGTGTGTCCCTTTCCTGGTGGGCGTATTTTTGGGGCCATTTTTGGGGCCATTTTTGGGGATTTTGGGGTCATTTTGGGACCATTTTTGGGGCCATTTTTGGGGATTTTGGGGTCAATTCTGGGGCCATTTTTGGGGTCATTTTGGGGCCATTTTTGGGATCATTTTTGGGGATTTCAGGATTATTTTTGGGGCCGTTTTTGGGGATTTTGCGACTATTTTTGGGACCATTTTTGGGGCCATTTTTGGGGATTTTGGGGTCAATTCTGGGGTCATTTTTGGGATCATTTTCGGGGATTTCGGGTGTCCCTTCCCCAGTGGGCGTGTCCCTCTCCCGGTGGGCGTGTCCCTTTCCCGGTGGGCGTGTCCCTTTCCTGGTGGGCGTGTCCATTTCCCGGTAGGCGTGTCCCTGCCCAGTGGGCGTGTCCCTTTCCCAGTGGCGTGTCCCGGTGGGTGTGTCCCTGTCGGTGGGCGTGTCCCTTTCCCAGTGGGCGTGTCCCGGGGGCGTGTCCCCTTCCTGGTGGGCATGTCCCTTTCACAGTGGGCGTGTCCCAGTGGGTGTGTCTGTCCCTGCCGGGGGGCGTGCCCTTTCTCCAGTGGGTGTGTCCCGGTGGGCGTGTCCCTTTCCCGGTGGGCGTGCCCTTTCTCCAGTGGGCGTGTCCCGGTGGGCGTGTCCCTTTCCCGGTGGGCGTGCCCCTTCCCCGGTGGGCGTGTCCCCTTCCCAGTGGGCGTGTCCTGGGGGCATGTCCCCTTCCTGGTGGGCATGTCCCTTTCCCAGTGGGTGTGTCCCTTTCCCGGTGGGCGTGTCCCTTTCCCAGGGGCGTGATACCGGATCAACACCGGACCAATACCGGATCAATACCGGATCTACAAACCCCGTTCCCGTTCCCGCTCCCGTTCCCGTTCCGGTTCCGGTTCCCGTTCCGGTTCCGGTTCCCGCTCCCGTTCCCGCTCCCGTTCCCGGTTCCCGGTTCCCATTCCGGGTTCCGGTTCCCGTTCCGGTTCTGGTTCCCGTTCCCGTTCCGGTTCCCTCTCCCGTTCCCATTCCCGCTCCCGGTTCTGGTTCCCGTTCCCGTTCCCGTTCCGGTTCCCGGTTCCTGTTCCCGTTCCGGTTCCCGCTCCCGTTCCCGCTCCCGGTTCCCGTTCCCGTTCCGGTTCCCGTTCCCGCTCCCGGTTCCCGTTCCCGTCCGGTTCCCGTTCCCGTTCCCGTTCCCGTTCTGTTCCCGTTCCCGTTCCCGGTTCCGGTTCCGGGTTCCCGTTCCGGTTCCCGTTCCCGCTCCCGGTTCCCGTTCCCGTTCCGGTTCCCGTTCCGGGTTCCCTTCCGGTTCCGGTTCCCGGTTTCCGTTCCCGCTCCCGGTTCCCGTTCCGGTTCCCGGTTCCCGTTCCCGCTCCCGGTTCCCGTTCCCGTCCGGTTCCCGTTCCCGCTCCCGGTTCCCGTTCCCGTTCCGGTTCCCGTTCCGGGTTCCCGTTCCGGTTCCGGGTTCCCGTTCCGGTTCCCGTTCCCGTTCCCGTTCCCGTTCCCGTTCTGTTCCCGTTCCCGTTCCCGGTTCCGGTTCCGGTTCCCGTACCCTTGGTGAAGGCCACGCCGTCGATGTCGGCGGGGCCCAGCCGCGCCTCGCGCAGCGCCGCCCGCACCAGCCCCAGCAGCGCGGCCCGGTGGTGCCGCCCGGTGGGCCCGGGGGCGAACCCTGCGGGGGGAGCGGGATCAGCACCGGGGCACCGGAACCGGCAGAGCGGCGGGGGAGAGGGGAAGTGACGTCACCGTGTCCCGGCGGCGTGACGTAGGTGGCGCGGCGGTTGCTGAGGACGGCGCCGTCGCGCACCACCCCCGCCCCCACCTTGTTGGCGGAGCCCTCCAGGCCCAGCACGGTCGGCATGACGTCACGGACGGAGCGAGGGAGAACCGCAGTGACGTCACGCCGCCGCCGCTCCGCCGCCGCCTCACGGCGATTCTCCCGCCGCTCCGCTGCGTCACTTCCGCTTCCTGCCTTTCCCCCTCCTCTTCCTCCTCCCGAGCGTTTCCGCTTCCGGCCACGCCCCCTTCCCGAGCATCCCCCTCACGCCTCTCCCCGAGCGCGCGCCGGGACGCTCGCGCCGCTCCCGCCGCCGCCGCTGATTGGCTCCGCGCCCTGAGGCACGGCGCGCTCTGATTGGCTCCGCGCGCTGAGGTACGGCGCGCTCTGATTGGCTCCGCGCCCTGAGGCACGGCGAGCCCTGATTGGCTCCGTGCGCTGAGGCACGGCGCGCTCTGATTGGCTCCGCGCGCTGAGGTACGGCGCGCTCTGATTGGCTCCGCGCCCTGAGGCACGGCGAGCCCTGATTGGCTCCGCGCGCTGAGGCACGGCGCGCTCTGATTGGCTCCGCGCGCTGAGGTACGGCGCGCTCTGATTGGCTCCGCGCCCTGAGGCACGGCGAGCCCTGATTGGCTCCGTGCGCTGAGGCACGGCGCGCTCTGATTGGCTCCGCGCGGTGAGGCACGGCGCGCTCTGATTGGCGGGCGGGAGAGCGCTGAGAGGGGGGGGGCGGGATTAACCGGGAGAAGGGCGCGCGTTTATTGGTTACTGAGGAAGATGATTGACAAGCAGCGGGCGAGCGGAGAGGGCGGGATCGGGCCCGTTCGGAGCCGATCGCTCCCGGTGCCGGTTCAGGCTCCGTTCGGGCCCGGTTCGGGCCCCGGTCCCGCCCCCAGGGCCGCACGTGGCGGCGGCGGGCGCCGATTGGCTGGCGCGGCGTGAGGGGAGGCGCGCTCTGATTGGCTGCGCTGTGAGGGGGAGCTCCATGACGCGCTCTGATTGGCTCTGTTGAACGCAGGAGGGCGGAGTTAAGACACCGGCGCGCTCTGATTGGTTGCAGAGGCGAGGCTTGAAGGGCGGAAGGGGCGGGGCCAGCGCCATGCCGAAGCGCGGGAAGAAGAAGGAGGAGACGGGATCAGCACCGGCGCACCGGAACCGGCAGAGCGGGGGGGGAGAGGGGAAGTGACGTCACCGTGTCCCGGCGGCGTGACGTAGGTGGCGCGGCGGTTGCTGAGGACGGCGCCGTCGCGCACCACCCCCGCCCCCACCTTGTTGGCGGAGCCCTCCAGGCCCAGCACGGTCGGCATGACGTCACGGACGGAGCGTGGAGGGGGGGGGAACCGCAGTGACGTCACGCCGCCGCCGCTCCGCCGCTCCGCCGCCGCCTCACGGCGATTCTCCCGCCGCTCCGCTGCGTCACTTCCGCTTCCCGCCTTTCCCCCTCCTCCTCCTCCCGAGCGTTTCCGCTTCCGGCCACGCCCCCTTCCCGAGCATCCCCCTCACGCCTCTCCCCGAGCGCGCGCCGGGACGCTCGCGCCGCTCCCGCCGCCGCCGCTGATTGGCTCCGTGCGCTGAGGCACGGCGCGCTCTGATTGGCTCCGCGCGCTGAGGTACGGCGCGCTCTGATTGGCTCCGCGCCCTGAGGCACGGCGAGCCCTGATTGGCTCCGTGCGCTGAGGCACGGCGCGCTCTGATTGGCTCCGCGCGGTGAGGCACGGCGCGCTCTGATTGGCGGGCGGGAGAGCGCTGAGAGGGGGGGGGCGGGATTAACCGGGAGAAGGGCGCGCGTTTATTGGTTACTGAGGAAGATGATTGACAAGCAGCGGGCGAGCGGAGAGGGCGGGATCGGGCCCGTTCGGAGCCGATCGCTCCCGGTGCCGGTTCAGGCTCCGTTCGGGCCCGGTTCGGGCCCCGGTCCCGCCCCCAGGGCCGCACGTGGCGGCGGCGGGCGCCGATTGGCTGGCGCGGCGTGAGGGGAGGCGCGCTCTGATTGGCTGCGCTGTGAGGGGGAGCTCCATGACGCGCTCTGATTGGCTCTGTTGAACGCAGGAGGGCGGAGTTAAGACACCGGCGCGCTCTGATTGGTTGCAGAGGCGAGGCTTGAAGGGCGGAAGGGGCGGGGCCAGCGCCATGCCGAAGCGCGGGAAGAAGAAGGAGGAGAACGGGAGCGGGGACGAGGCCGGTGAGTGACCAATAAAGCTGGACGTCACCTACGGCATCGGTGAGAGCCCCAAAACACCCCAAAAATGGCCCCAAAATCACCCAAATCCGTTGAGCCAAAATTGGTCTGAAATCGGACCAAAACTGCCCCAAAACCGCCCCAAAAATGGCACCAAAATCACCCAAATGCGTTGAGGCAAAATTGGTCTGAAATCGGACCAAAACTGCCCCAAAACCACCCCAAAACTGCCCCAAAAACAGCCCCAGAGTCACCCGAAAACAGCCCCAGAGTCACCCTAAAACTGCCCCGAAACTGCCCCAAAAACAGCCCCAAAATCACCCAAATTCATTGACCCAAAATTGGCCCGAAACTGCCCCAAAATCACCCCAAAACCATTCCCAGCCTCTCCCAGTCCCTCCCAGTCCCCCCCAATCCCCTCCCAGTG